CATGGCTCCAAAAAAAGGCCACAAGGGGATTTAGGACTCTGCTGCATTGTCACTGGCCTGCAGTCTGATGATCCATCCAGGCCTTGATCCATAGGAAACCCGAATAGGCTGAAGCCTTGGGTGGCAAAATCGCATAGGCACCAAGTTGAAGGTGACTCTTGTTCCATTAATATAGCTGTGATAGCTTTTTCAGAGGAAAAAGTGGAAGTGAACATGAAATTACATTACTTTTATTTATGATCTAGTAGTTATTTAGACTGTGATCATGGCTCTAGCCTAGCCTGTCTCTAGGTAAATTGCCGCCTGAGGTGATGTCCTTCTAGGGGGGTGTTTTGGGGGGTTCTGTCAGGGATGGTCAGAGAGAAGGCGTGCATGGCTGATTTGTCGAAGAGGGTGGTGGACACCCTGCTCACTGACTGCCGGGAGCTAGGCGGGACGCAAGCCAGAGCGTTCCCGCTCAGCAACTGGCAACCTGTGATGTCAGTGCGCTCTCTGGCACCACACATACAGTCGCAGGTTGCTAAGAGCTCTTAGCAACCTGGGACGCTGTGGCCACCCCTCCCACCACCCGGCCACTCCCCAATAGGAGTCATTGGACAGCCCTGGCCCTAGTGATGCCTCTGAATCCACAGACTGTGAAGCAAGTTTCTCTTGCGCCAAAGGGGACTTCACCATGGCATAGCTATGGTTTAATTACCTGTACTGCACACATCATGTAGGCTCTATCTTAGAATAGTTTTAAAATATTACAACTTAATACATTTGCTATTAACGAATAACAGATACCTAAATTGAGATTAGGCTTTAATAAAGAATAAATTAGCTACTATCTATTATCTTATCTTCTGTAACAAAATCCTGTACAAATACAGGCATATGAAAAGTCTGAAGTTTCATTATGCATGCAAACATAACTCTAATTTTAGTGTCCGTGAAACTAGAAAATACCATCATAGCATCATGAAAAGAAGGATTTGGCAACACATCAAGCAAGTGTATAAAAAAGTGACATCTTTAATTATGGCTTCTATGGCTTCAGGAGTTTTGTTAAAGTAGAACGGCACTGTTGGACTGCAAATCTTAGGAGAAAAAGAGGTTACATCTAATGGGATGTTAGTACACTGTGTCTGTTGAGAAAAAAGATTTTGGGATGGTAAGCTGAACAATCTACAGACTGGACCTGCAACAGCAAGTTGATAATTTAGAACAGGGCTGGGCAAATCTCAGGAGCCAGGGAGCCAATGCTCATTAAAAAATTACAGCTGACACCTAACATTTGAGGTTTTCTCTAGTTATTGTTAATAGAACTGACTCCTAAAAAAATCCTGCTAGTTACTGGATTGAACAAACTGTCTCCTCCACATCTCAATTAGTAACCAGTTCTAGCTGCACACTGATTCTCACTTGTAATGCCACAATGCACTTGGAGACCGGTACTTTTTACATGAAATGTATTATGTTTCCATATACTATTATTAAGAGCAGGGAAGTATATATTATTTATAAGGATTCATAGAACTACTAATTACATTTCAAATAGTGATTTTACTGAAGAGTGAATTTAATAGGTTTTGTCCAAAATAGTGACACTGTAAACTATTTATGCCACTGACGTGGTGTCCCAGTGGTCTGCTGAGGTCCTCAGAAAACCTTCTTACTAAGTGTAAGAGAATGCTGTGCATTCCCTCAGTCAATATAAATGTCATGACAGTGTATCCCTTCTAAAACCTTTACAGAACCAGTCACAGGATAGCGCATTGATGGTTGTGTGAACACTTCTAGAAGTGCTCTTGCCGGCTCTACAAAAAAATGACTGTGCTAAACTAAAACAGGATATAACCGCACTGCAAAATTACCTGTAAGTGGACATAATCATAGTCATCCATCCAGCTTCTCATTGTACTATCCCGTTTCATGAAAATAGGGTTATGCTCTTTCACCATATGCGGAAAAGCTTGTTTGTTGTCATCTTGTACAATATGAGTTGTTGAGTCATTGTACATCATTTCCGAAACACTGTTGATTACTTCCGAAGGTCTTCTTTTTTGCACATTAGCAGGAACATGCTTAAATAAATGCACAGCATTAATACTAATCGTTGTTGTGAGTTGCTTTGCATCATCCACAATGGTCCTAGCAACCATGATAAACCTTTCAAGGCTGTCACATTTGTTGCCGGCTTTATTGAAAGAAAGGACATTGAGTGACCAGTTGCAATTATTGAGTTCTTGACTGGTTTGTGTTAAGATCTGGTGAGAGTCCTCCAGTCTCTGCAACTCTCTTTTCATTTTGTTATAAAGCCCAGGCTCTGACACACAAGATGCATTTACGGTAGCCCCTTTTGAAAACTGGAGAAACTCAAACAGGGTCTGCTTTACTTTGTCTACAGCTGAATGTATTTCATTAACATGCCTTTCCATGTAAACGTAAGAACGCCACTCAGCATTGACAAATGTCAACAGTTTAGAGACAGAACATTCCACCATTTGCTGGAGCTTCAACAACACTTCAATAGCAGAGTCAGGATCCATCAGGAGTTTTTTGTCCTGAGAAGGCGAGGATGTCACAGAAGATTCCTTGGAGGTTGTGGAAGATGTAGACATGTTGCTCCTAGTGCTTCCAGTGCTAGAGAATGAAAGTCTATTTACGCCGTCAGTTGCATCTTGAATCCCTTTACAGTCCTGCTGTACCTGTGGTGGGAAGTCATAGATCCCTTCCTGGTCATCAGGAAAACTTCCTGTCTCTGAAGAGAAATGGACTCCTCGAGGGAAATCATAATCTTCAGATGCAGACTGATTTTGCTGGTTACGAGGAAAATCATATAAGCTGGATTTCCTTGGAGGTGTCTCGGAGTGTAAATGGCCGTTTATTTTCATACATGGTTCTTGACATGTTTTTGAACTTGGAGGCAAGGTGTCATATGTTGCTTCAAGCTTTTGCTTTGCTGAAGAAGGGAAGTCATACATTGTATCCTTAGTTGGAGGCAAGGTATTATAGATCTGCAAGAGAAAATGTAAGATTATTACTTACCGTATATAGCAAATCAACTGTCTTAATTCAGAATTATATCAGTTTATAGCAAGCCTACTATTTCAATTACTGATGTTAGACTGTCATTTATGTGGCCGACTATTTCAGTTGTCAGAGTCCACCAAAATATCAGAGAAAAATAATAAATATTTTACGCCTTAATAGTACACTTTAAACAACATAATTAACTGTCTTTGTTTCCCTATTCCAGGTCTGTGTGGACTTAATACTCAAATAGACAAATGTTAACAGTTTTTCTGGGGTTAATAAATAAAGAAATGACAGAACGACTAGGGCCCCTTTCAGACGGCCGGTCTGATCAGGTCCGCCTGTCAGTTTTTAGGCTGCCCAATGTAAGTCTATAGGCAGCCGGATCGAAACGGACAGCTGTCCGTTTACATCGGGTTGCCCCCAGGTCCAGCCAGGTTCAGAACAACAAATGCAACAGTGTTCCATTTTGCTAGATAGACTTGGTTGTACCGGATAAGGGGTAATCTGATTCCCTGACATATTCCCTGACATATACCGACAAGTGGTCCGGTCATTTCATCTTGAAATGGAGGAAAAAACTGGGCGGACGCAGATGTCACAGCAGTGACATGCAATCTGTACCTCTCCGATCATGGATCCTCTCCTGATCTACAGTGTGAAAGGGGACTAAGATACTTACCTTTCCTGGAGAAACTGCTTCTTCAGGGTCCCTCCAGTGATACATTCATGACAAAAAGCCTAATCATTGGTAATGTGTGAGGTTTACAGTTCAAACTAGCTGATCATTTCTTTCAGGAGACCACTAATGACAAAAGGACCAAGATTCTGGTCATATAACCAGCCCGTTTAAACGAGAAAGCTAAAAAAGATTTAAAACAAGTACTAAAGCAAGTAAAATGGTAAGCAGCAATTTTTTAAATATTATTTTAAAGTGATGTTCTGTGAATAGGAACATGTAACAAATATAAAATAGGCGTTATTCCAATTTTGCTGCAAAAGTGTAAATCTGCTTTAAGAAGGCTAGATTATTCATCATTAATTTATCCAGCAGTACTATTAACTTTATGTTGGACCATTTAAAAAAAAAAAAAAATCACACTACATAAATCGATAGGTCACATGTCAGTATTATCAAATATCACTATAATTGTGAGTAAAAATGTGCCTCATTCTTGCCATGAATAACCAAACTGCTCCCACCATAGATAACCAAGACTAAAATAATGAATAATGAAGAGAGAACTCAAATCCTTACCGCTTGTGGAGGAGGAACATCATAAATTCCTTGTTCTCTGGCTGGACTTGAGCACATGCTATTTTTAGAAGCTGGTGGAACATCATATACCTGGAAAAAAAAGTTGGATAAACTAGATTGATTTTCATAGTCTTTAGAGTTACAGAGTTTGTAAAAAATAAAAACGACACTGGAAACTTAGATATGTGTAGTAAGTGTCCTTTCTGGATTTGATAGCTAAAGTATTGTTGTACTTTAGCATTGAGGCCCCTCAGAATAAGCTGAATCCACAACTTGCAGACACAATTACCTAAGCTGGCCTCGAGCGGCACTTGGACATGTAAGTATTATCTGGCTGGAGAAACCTATTTTTTAGTAAACAAGTTTTCCCAATTATTCACAATCTCACATCACCAGATTGTGAAAGATAACTATGAGGAAAGTCTGCCTGGCAGACAGACATTCCTACTGACGAAATAAACAACAGGGGCCAGCAGATATAATTAAACCCAACTAATTGTTAGTTAACACAGTCGGTGGGGAATTCTTTACTGGTATTTGCTGACACCCGTAGGCATGAGAATTGCCACCTGATCATTATCTCATATTCAAAGGTGCCTTTCGTAATTTTAAGTAAGAAAAGGCACGTAGTGCTAAGATAAATTGTCCAGTTTAGCTCATGTAAGTTAAACGCAAAGCAGTAAAACAACTACACCCATTTGGTACTTATACATATATCCACCAGAGAGGCACAAATGAATCAGTGTTTAGTTTCCAGCACTTCTTGGGGATAACAGTTCAACAAATGCAATAACTGATGAAAAATGATGACTTCTGCAAATATTAATTTAATAATAAATAATACAAATTCTGCAAATGTAATAATAAATAAACCTTTCTGCTATCAAATATTCTGAGTATGCCCTTATGTACCTATACTAATTGTTAGTTAACACAGTCGGTGGGGAATTCTTTACTGGTATTTGCTGACACCCGTAGGCATGAGAATTGCCACCTGATCATTATCTCATATTCAAAGGTGCCTTTCGTAATTTTAAGTAAGAAAAGGCACGTAGTGCTAAGATAAATTGTCCAGTTTAGCTCATGTAAGTTAAACGCAAAGCAGTAAAACAACTACACCCATTTGGTACTTATACATATATCCACCAGAGAGGCACAAATGAATCAGTGTTTAGTTTCCAGCACTTCTTGGGGATAACAGTTCAACAAATGCAATAACTGATGAAAAATGATGACTTCTGCAAATATTAATTTAATAATAAATAATACAAATTCTGCAAATGTAATAATAAATAAACCTTTCTGCTATCAAATATTCTGAGTATGCCCTTATGTACCTACCCCTTGAGGGCGAGCCGGTGGGGTATCATAGACACTGTTCTGCCAGTCGGGAGGAGATTCAAAGTTATATCCATGAGAACGCCTCATTGGGTTCATTACCTAAAACAGATAAAAAAAACAAAACAGAATTAGTATTTAAAATCGTAAGTTATACCTTTTTTTATAGTATTAATATACTGTATATGTAATGCAGTATGTAGTATAAAATGTATATATACTACAGGAGACAGTCCTTAACTAAAAGAAGTCCTGTCTGCGATTCTCCAGCAACCAGTTACATTTCAACCATCATTTTTTCAGTGGTGGTTATTAGTTGGGAAACACAGTCAGTTCTTTCAGACACATCAAAAATGATAGCAATGGTAGCAATCAACTAACCATGGCAAAAAAAGGCAGATTTTATTCCCTGATTATAATTATTTACATCTATTCCTACCATATCATGCCAATAAACATATTCGGTATGTTTCTATAATTCACAGCAAATGGTATATTTAAAAAAAGCATTATAACCTTGTTCCTTTATTTACAGTTGTGGGATGACAATGCTATCTCAAGAATGGGGAATATTTTCATTATAAACTTTTTCTCCAATGAATAAAAAACAGGGACATTCCAGTAAAAGGAAAAATTCTTTGGCTATATGTGCTGCCTCGCTTAGAATGTACTTCCTGACTTCTATGCTAATGAACTCCCTGCCATTTCAATTATTTAGGTTTCCACTAAATTCCTGTAGTCATTTTGTGGAACAAACAGCACATTCCAATCTTATAATCACTTGCTTGTGCAACAAAAGAAACCGCCGGAGAGGCTGCTGATAATTATAATGCCTTAACCCAAATACTAAGTAAGCAGGCCTGTATCACAACTCTACAAGAAGCTTATGTCTTAAGCTGGCCATACATTCACATAGTGAACTAAAGAAAAACACTTGAATCTCCCCTGCTGGCTATTTTATTCTGAGATCCAGCGCCCGTAACTGTCAGAATATCCAAACGGTGAATGTTGCCGACTGGATGCAGTTACTGTTCGGCTGATAACTTCTCTCCTAGCTCCTTTGATTTTTCAGTCGAACTTTGCCAGAGTTACCGGCTGGGAAACCACAGATTTACAGGAACAGTGTATGGCCAGCTTTAAGCTATATGACAGGTTCATGTAGTATAAAGACTCTATATAATATAGAGTCCTTCAGATTCAAGATGGAATTCTTACATGGTAAGTATATATAGGTTAGATAATATGTTAAAAAAAATATTGCACTGAAGCAGTGTTGTATCATTTTACAGCAGGTGGAGATGGTCACTGAACATTGGCTGTATCAAACCGCGCTCAACACAAGGCTCTCAACCTTTGTGGATATGAATCTGCTGTAACTAGTTTTTGTAGAGTTTACATAATGCTATGAGCAGTGGGCAGGAGCTGCTCCAGTTGCAATGACCACTGCATGACGCATGTGTTGTTCAGATGGCCTACTAACGGATAATAAAGCCCAAATGTATTTATTGCAGTTTATCAGTCCTTCGATGTTGTGGCTGAATTAGTTTTCATCTAATTGTTCTTTTGTAATGGAGATGAACAAAGGGCACACATGCTTAAAGTCAAAACTAAAAAAGTACCTCAACTCTTTACTAAGGTCATGAATGCAAAAGTACAAAAACAGACCTCATTCCACCAATGTTTCTGGAACACACAGGTCACCTTTCTCAAAACGTCACTCAACTTCAGAAAGGTGACCTATTCATCTCCAAAACATTGGTGGAATAATGTTGGTTTGGGTACTTTCGCATGCATGATCTCAGTAAAGAATTGAGTTATTTTTCAGTTTGCAGTGCTGGCTATTTTTTATATGTTGACCATGGCATCCTAGTTGTCTATACACCCTGTAATCCGAGGCATTACAGGTACTGATGAGGGATGCATTTTTTAATGAATAAAATGTCTGAAATCCAGCCTAGTGGCAACCATGGATGGGAGAGCAAAGCCACCTAGTAAGGCCACCTATTGAAGCCACCCAGGGACCATGTAATGAAGATGAACAAATCCAGAACTGTTTAAAGTCCTTTCTGGTGGCAACCATGACTCTCTCCATAGACACAGTGGAGGGGAGGGCAAAGTCACTCAGTAAAGCCACCCAGTGAAGCCACCCAGGGACCACGTAATGAAGAAGCAGAAATGCTTGAAGTCCAGCAACCATGCCTCCCTCTATAGATACAGTGGAGAAGTGAGGGAAGCCACCCAGTGAAGCCACACAGGGACAGAAAATGTGTTATTCACCATCTCTCATTTATAAACTATTAGTCCCTCATTTCACCATGTATTGAAGATGAAGAAAGGCAGACATGTTTAAAGACCAACCTATGTGACAACCATGGCTCTTCGTTAAGGCACAGTGGAGAAGTTACAGGCATGAACGTAGAAAGAAAGGGAAAAAAGGCCTACACAACAACATGGCTAGTAAGCTGCAAAATATGACATTTCTGTTTTTGGGCTTAGATACACTTTATGGAGCCTCCTATTGCTTTTAGGAGCTCTGAAATATATTGTTTGCTTAATATAACTATTTATCAGCAGTCAGGCCTAGATAGTCTGTGATATATACTAGGTCTGAAAATGCAATAAAAGCATAGATAGGAACATACGTCACATCTCATCTATATAATAATGTAGAATTCGCCATGATTTTTATCATGGTGAAGCAAAAATGTAGAAAAATGTGCATGAAAAAAGCCTCAAAAATAAAATGCACATTTTAAAAGAGAAAGATGTTTTGTAATCTATCACTCCCTGTATGTGGCAACATTAGCATCAGTTTACTAATTCATTGTAAATGTACCATATCATGGTGTCCTTGATGTAAAGGAGGCTCTGAACAATGCGTCCATAGTGAAATGCGAGAAACAAAAAGGACAATGTTGTACACTTTGAAAGAATGCCGAGGCTTAGATAAAAGCAGTCTATTACAGTATCTGCCCACACTGAAGAAATAGTCTGTACTGTGTAATTTCCTATGTACCTCAGCGTACACAGAGGTTACACTACTTCCTGTTGCTCGCATTTCAGTTCCTGGTGTTGCCATTAAGACAGATTTTCTCAGGCAGAAACTGTGGGGAAACAATGAGGGATGTTGTGTGAGAAAATAATAGTGAAACAAATCATTTCTTTCCGCTACTGGACATGCTCCAAACATCTGAAAGGCAAGGTGACAGCCTGTAAACCAGCCTCAGATCTGAGGGAACAAGATTTGACCTCTGCTGTCACCCTTTATAGATGGAGGCAGGTGTTGTGTCTAGTAATGTCACGGGTACTGGCCACTGAGGTTTATGTGCGGCAGTGCCTGACATGGCAACGCTGTCCTATCCAATTATATTCTTAGTAAATATATTTTTACGCACCCACACATTTTACAGCAAGTATAGTTTGATTGGGTCCACAAGTTAGCTGCAAAACTGTGGTATATAAAGAATGTTTGAGCACATGATTGGGTACAATACTCTGTAACTCTTCCCATATATCATTGCTTATATAAAGCAGAAGAGATGAAACTCCTGTTGCACTATCCCTGGAATTCATAAGGAAATTGAATAAAAATATGTCTCCAGTCCATGCAAAAAATGACGCAACTTGCAACAGATTCACCTAACTGTCAGTAAGTTGTATATGTATCTGTCGCAGAGTTGTCTCAGACAGAATTTTATCTGCGACACAAGCCGGCTATATGCTGTACAAATTCGCACAGTTGGTGGCCCTGTCTACACCCTTCTGTCAGGCATCCTTACATCAGAAGATCGCAGGAGCCAGATGGGAAATCTTTGGTTGAGCAGTGACGGCAGCCAATCATCTGCCGTCCAGAATACAAAGGACACAGCAAGAGATCCCTCCATCCATGCTATTTAGCTAGATGGAGGAATCTGTTATTGTTTTTCATTCAGCCTGCACGTTTAGGCCTCATTCACACATAACGCAAGCAAAATTGTATATTGCGTATATACGTGTCTATGCGCGCATATACTAGCGTATATGCATGCACTATATGCAATCCCAGAATGCATCACTCGTAATGGAATTTTTAATGTGCTGTACGCATGTACACGCGTATAGACGTGTATATGAGCGTAAACATGCGTATATGCGCGTAAATACGCTGCCCGGACACATCTCTGTTGCATATGGTACAATACGCACGTATACGCGCGCATAAGTGCGGCAGTGTGAATGAGGCCTTAATGAAAGAAATATAACTGTGTATACCCAGCTTTACTTGTGTAACACCATTTACACCACTTTCATTGATCTCCACTTTTCTTATAACTGATATGATATGGCGGTATTTCTTAAATAAATTGTTGTAGCCATAGCACCAGAATGAAGACGTTTTGCACATAAGAACTACCTGAATTTGTTGCACGCATCGGAAATAGCAAGCAAACAGTTGCATGGTTTTTATGAATTTCTAACAGGGACATAATGCCAGAAAAGTGTCACAAATGCTTTGTTGAATAGCCCCCTCTGTGTCCTATGCTTTTTTCCTGATTCAGGCTTGCAACGCTGTGACAATCCATTGAGGAGTATGGGGGACATACTTGAAATCCCGATCCACATCAATGACAGTTTAGAAGCATGAGGAAACGACAATGTTTGTCTCCAGAGAAAGGTCCTACGCAAACCAGCACAAAAATGGTCTGCTGGACGTGTGCTCCTAACACCTTCCAAGACTTTTATGACAGCTGAAAGAGTGTACTACCTGCATAGCCCAATACACATGGGAACACATTAACCCTTTACTTCTCCATGCCATTCTCCAGGCTGCATTGCCATTGCCAGCATGAAGCACATAATGAGGTTACAGCACATGGATGTTTCCATACAAGATAGGAGTAGAGGATTTTTTTTAAAGAGAACCAGTAAGGAATAACTATTTAATCTGAGTTTAAGTTGTTAAAATAGTGAAGCCTTACTTTTGAGCAATAGCAATATATGCTGTTAGCAACTTGTATTCTGTTGCTGTCTGAGCAGAAATGTCAGATCAGTGTCATGCTGTAGGGGCTGATCTGTACACTGCCTGAGCTGAGGGACGAACACGAAATTAACAAAGTCTATAG